TCACCACATATGAGCGCATAAACGTAGAGAATGGTGTTGTTCAATTGTGATTCGTGTTCTGACCTTTGTGTAGAACGTCTTCGATCACCTTGTCACTCAGATCACCTTCCGTGGTTTCAGGAGCATAGTTTCGCCAGTCTTCGGGTAGATCGAGGCTCTCGGAGAAGATGCGGACTTGACTCGAGATAAATGCTGATTTCAACTCAGTTATAGTTCGAGTTGAATCCATTTCGAACAGAATCCAAATGGTGTTAGAGAAGTACCATTGTCGAGTCCCAAAAGTCTCACGATCTTCTCTGAGCGAGTGCTTATCGATAAGTGATCACGTGTCTCTCCGCAAATGTCATTTCACGGGATGGCCAATCTCAATTTGGGCAATAAATAACTATAAAATGAGGAAAGTAACTTAAAGAGTAGGGAATAAATGATAGCTTAGTCGTGATATATGGCCGTAATAGGGCAATAATGAAGTTTCTTGGTGTGGAGTATACCCTCGGTTTAAAGACGTACCTCGGCAATCTGACCGTCTTTTATGTCCAGATCGCTCTCAAGAGTAATTCAATTCGTTGCGATTTCAACGTCATCAATGCTCATTTATAAATAAACTGTGGCATATATTGCATCCCTACTATCGCCAGCAGCCCCATTATTATCTCAATATGGCAGAGATCAAGCGGCCGGTGGGCCTACTGTTTGACATTGGAGGAGTTTGTGTAAGTCGGCCACTTGACCCGCAAATTGAGGATATATATATCTGATGAATTTTTAGGTTGTATCTCCATTCCAGGCCATTCTTGACTATGAAATTGCCCAAAACATCCCACCAGGATGGGTCAATTTCAGTATTTCGCGAACGGCGCCAAACGGTAGCTGGCATAAGCTTGAGCGAGGCGACATCAAGATGGACGCCGACTTCTTTGCGGGGTTCAATGCGGACCTAAGAGACCCCGAACTATGGAAACAATTCCACCAACAACTTCAAAAGAAACAAGGCACAGGCGGTTCCACCACACCTCCACTACCGACAGTGGATGCAGAATGGCTATTCTGGGAGATGATGCGGATATCTCGCACGCCAGACCGATACATGTACCCAGCTCTGAAGAAGTTGAGAGAGTCGAGACAGTTTCTGATGGGCGCTCTGTCCAACACCGTCATATTCCCCGATGGACATGAATACAATAATGCATCCGAGGTTAAGAAGCAATTCGATTTCTTTATCTCGTCTGCACACACAGGCCTCCGCAAACCCGACCCAAAAATCTACCAGGTGGCATTACAAGAGATGGACACTTTAGCTAAGAGGCGGGGACTGGCCGGATCTAATCCCGACGACATTGTGTTCTTCGATGACATTGGCGAGAACTTGAAGGGGGCGAAGAAAGCTGGCATGCGTACAGTCAAAGTCACACTTGGAAAGACCCAAGATGCAGTCAGGGAGCTGGAGAAGCTCACAGGCCTTCAGTTGTTGGACGAGGACAAGGCACGATTGTGACGCATTATACATAGAAATGGATTATTGCAAGAAGAATATCAGGGTTATCATGTAGAAAGGATGGAGAATCAAAATTCCAGACCATTTCCATAATTTTCCCAATTTTTTCTGAATTTATTATGGATTTCCTTTTCTTTTCCATAGTAGAAAGTTGATGTTCCACTCGTCGCCGACCTCATTTTCTGGCGGGGGATGCAGCCACGCTAAGCGAAATCCCGCACAAAGTCGACCCACGAAATTTCTTACTTTCTCTTCTTCGTCCATCTCCAGCGCCCTCGACACCCCGTCAAAATGGTGAGTTCGATTGCTGATGGCTGAAGAGCCATTATGCATTCCTTTTGCATTTTATTTCCTCTCCGATTGAAATCGGAGCCGGGTCCCTGCAAGTTGCTTCGGCGTAATTTCTGAAGCGTTAATTGCTGACTCGCGTTGGTCTATAGCCTTTCACCAAGACCGTCAAGTCCAACGCCTACTTCAGGTGAGTAAAGCCTTCTATTCTGATATTTTGAGATCTCTGTTTGCTGATTTTTTTCAATTATAGTCGCTTCCAGACTAAGTACCGTCGCCGCCGCGAGGGTAAGACCGACTACTATGCTCGCAAGCGCCTGATCACCCAGGCCAAGAACAAGTACAACGCCCCCAAGTACCGCATGGTCGTTCGCTTCACCAACCGCGACATCGTCACCCAGATCGTCTACTCTGAGGTCACCGGTGACAAGGTTCTCGCTTCCGCTTACGCCCACGAGCTCCCCAAGTACGGTATCGACCAGGGTCTCACCAACTGGGCCGCTGCCTACGCCACTGGTCTGCTCCTTGCCCGCCGTGTCCTCAAGAAGCTCAACCTTGACGAGCAGTTCAAGGGTGTCGAGGAGGCTACCGGTGAGCACACTCTCACCGAGGCCGTCGAGACCGATGATGGCGAGCGCCGCCCCTTCAAGGCCTTCCTCGATGTTGGTCTTGTCCGCACCTCCACCGGTAACCGTGTCTTCGCTGCCATGAAGGGTGCCTCCGACGGTGGTATCTTCATCCCCCACTCCGACCGCCGTTTCCCCGGTTACGACATCGAGTCCGAGGAGCTTGACGCTGAGATGCTCAAGAACTACATCCACGGTAGCCACGTCTCCGAGTACATGGAGAACCTTGCCGATGAGGATGAGGAGCGCTACAAGTCCCAGTTCGTCAAGTACATTGAGAACGAGATTGAGGCTGGTGACCTTGAGGAGATCTACGCCGATGCCCACAAGGCCATCCGTGAGGACCCCTTCAAGGCCGATGAGAATGCTGGTCCCAAGAAGACCAAGGAGGAGTGGAAGGCCGAGTCCAAGAAGTACAAGGTCAACCGTCTCACTCACGCCGAGCGCAAGGCTCGCGTCGAGGAGAAGATCCGCAAGCTTGCTGCTTAAGCGTCTCGCTTCCTATCTTTTTGACGAAAAGTTCCTACCAATTCCAATTGAGGGGATAAGCTACTGCCGGCGTTTTTTCATGTGACGTAGTTTTTGACGGATCATGGCACATACCACTTTTTATTTTTATTATCGGAAGGGGGTTTTTCCTGGGAGCAATTAGTTCGGTGTTCATTCAAGGCAATTTCTTTACTCAGTTCTAACTGCTCCCGAATGTCCATCTGTCTTGTTCCCTCATTTGCCTCCTTGCAACCAGTAATTGGGATTTGTAAAGCCTTTAATCCAAGTAGTTTAACCCAGATCTAGGATTGTATGATTCCATGATTATTGCATCATGCCATTGTGTGCAATTTAGTGCGAGTTAAAGTAGCCCACAATATTAAAATTAGATCGACGCCAATGCCCAAGCGCCAATACTGTGACTAGTGGCCCCCAACCCCATAAATGCATTGCCAACACACTTGGTGGCTGTTCAAACTAGCAGCAAGGATGCAAAAAGAAAAAAAAGTGGCTAGATAGTTCCATTGTCATCAATCCCCGCTTTAAAAAGCTGTTTGGTCCCCGAAAAGACATTGCAATTACTTTACCCCTTGTATATATATCCCTCACCTAGCTCCATATCAACATATCCATCATGAGAAGATACCAACAACACACGCACGCAAGCTGGCATCGCGCCTACGCAGATAAATTCGATTGCCCCTGGTGCCAAACCCCTCACCGAGCAGAAAGCACAACACCACACCAGAACCGAAACCGCAAACAATCCGCAAAGGGATCAGACAATGGCAGAACCAGCAGAGCAATTGCTACGTCGACACCAGTCGGACGTCGGATAGAGCACCAGGGCTCTCACGTTCCTATCGAAGATGAGGCCGTCGGTACCCCGCTCCCACAGACTCCAGATTCAGCTCCGCACGCGAATGAAGATACACCAGGGCTGGAATCGGATTCAAATTACCCGCTGTATAAGGGTCGCACTTCGAGGCCGGATGGATTGAATAACGTGTTCGCGTCAGATACACCGCGTCCACCGCTTCCTGAGGAGTGGACGAAGGAGATTGAGGATCGGGAACATGGGTAGGTGTTTCTAGTTGATGGATGTGGTTCCAGCTGGTTTCGTCCTTGTGCTGACGGAGTGTTGTCAACAGTGCTGCGGAATGGACCCCACCGGCTGTGGAAGATTGGCGCTCTGGGCTAGATACGACGGGGGAGCTTCGAATCCCCGGTGGTGACAAGATTGAGTCTCCAGAGTTGAGTGTGAGGGAGTTAGAGAATACTGATTGAAGTAGATCGAGTCAAAATATTCACAATGAAATCCAGCTATCAGGATCTTGCTCTACTCAAGTTTCTATTGTACATATTTTACCAGTCTAATATAACCCCATTCTAACTTCTCGCTCTCACCGTCGAATCTCACGGTCGAAAGACTTCTGCATACACGTGATGATCAGGCGCTAAAAAAAAAAAAAAATGTCGATCTCATGAGATCCTACAAGAAGTAATTTGATAAACATTGTTCGAAACATTGTGATTATACCGATTCCAGGGACGGGTTTATGACTTTGTGACCTGCTATAAAACAAGACTAACCTCTATAGGGACCTCGGGATGTGTGGGGAGGGCAAGGTGGGAAAGAAACTATGTGTTGAATGACTGGAAGAGAGAGGAGTAAAGGTCCTATCCTGTTTTATGCAGTAGGGCTGCCTTAACAGGATTATTTCAGAAATATTTAGCCTAGGTATATCTCAAAGGGAAACCAAAAATGGCCAATAAAACAGATATCGAATCGGCCTGGGTGTAGAATAGCTAACAGATAGACTCTTAAAATGATAAATCGATCCCAGAAGCTGTAGGATCACGTATAGCAACGCTCACTTGATTCAGCCAAAATCGCCAGGAGCTAGCTTCTAGTGGTATTATTGTAGAGTGCTTTCATGTGCATTGTTTGATATAATGCCTCCCAAGGCCTTTCAATCTGCCCGGCTGGCTCCTAGTTGGTGATAAGCAACTATAGATATCAGGCTTAAGATCGAAAGGTGATTATAACATGATTCCCGTAGAACAGTATTAAATGTCATGATCCCAATTGCCAATCCCAGTTAGTCCAGGAAAGAAAGCAGCACCTTGTAAAACGCCTTGGGGTCCTGGAGGAAGGGCGCATGGCCTAGACCGGGGAACATGTGGAGCGTGCAGTTGGGGATCATGGCTGCGGCAGCAGGACCGAGTTCAGCATAATGGCCCAGCTTCGCAGCGATTGCAGGGGGTGACCATGCTTTGCCAAGCGCCGAAACGTCGCTATCTCCCACTAAGAGGTAGGTACGTGTCTGCAGGACAGGGAACTGGTGGATAACAGGCTGGCTGAGCAAGGCGTCGGTGACGAGGGCCATCACGTACGAATAGTCGGAGCCATAGTCGCTGGCATAGATGTCGGCTAGCATGTGGACCCAGGTATCGTACTCAGGCTTCCAGGGGGCATTGGCGAAGTAGCTGGCCTGCTCATACGCCTTGAGAGTGTTGAAGTTCTGCCCAAGTCCGCTCTGATACGACGCGTCGACTGATAGGTAGGGCACACCCTTGGCTACCCAGTCCTCTAGGCCGAGGGGATTGACAAGGAAAAGTTGTTGGACGCTGGCCGGGTACATGAGGCCGTAACGGGCGGCAATCATGCCACCCATCGAATGGCCGATCACGGTGGCTCTATCGATGCCAAGCGCAGTAAGCAGACTGTGGATGTTCAACGCCTGCTGGTGTACGTTATAAGAATAGCCTTGGGGTTTGCTCGACTTGCAGAAGCCGATGTCGTCGGGCAGGATCACTCTGTAGCCGGCAGCCGATAGTTGGCGCGCGGTGTCGGACCATGTGACGCCGCAGAAGTTCCCGCCGTGCAGTAGGATCGCTGTCTTCTTATTCTTGAAATGCTTCTTTGCTGGGATGTCCATGAACGCCATTGAAAGGTTCTGGCGCTGATTGAAGAAGTTGAACTGCTTCACCGGCCAGGGGTAGGCATAGCTGGATCCGTATAGATCGGCGGGCACAGGGCCATCGTAGATGGTGCCAATTGGATCGGGGTCAGATTGTGCGGCGACAACAGCCGTACACGACAGCACCGCTGTGAAGGCACTGACAATGGAGAAGAACTTCATCTCGTGATTTGCTCGTGGAAGAAGCAGGTTCTCTTAGTGACGTTTAAAGAGCACGGTAGCTCTCTATCAATTATATAAGAGGGAAGTAGCCTTCGCCTCCTGTAAGCATATATATGTGAAAAATATTTTAGTGTAAATTCAAGGATCTCAGTGTACGGAGTAGCTCAGCCAGGGGCACAGATTCCGTGTTGCTAGTTACCTATATGCAGTTAGTTACTCCGCTAGTGGCCGACTATCCCGTACAGCCTTTCGAAATGGACATTTTAATCAACTGCAAATTGACTAGCACGTATTTGGTGTAGTCAAGTTCAAGAAGTAGATGCGATTGTTGTCCTTGTTCTAAACAGATGATTGTTGGCCAGCAATTCCCAAACTAGTGCCTTTAACGCCATGCATGAAATCAATCAACATTTGCGACATTAACAAAAAACCAAAAACCCCAAGTCGTTTTTTTAGAAATGTCTCAGATGAACTGGGTGAATGATTCGATTAGGCTACGCGATGTTAGTCGATGTCAAGAGGGGGGAAACTTCCAATAGGTCAGTAGCGGTAACCTTGCAGGATACGCCATGCGCTATGCCGGCAATGGACAGAGTATCTATGCAGGGAAGAGGGAGGAGAAAGGACGAAGACTCAAACGCTTTCACATACCTACCCTCAGGCGACCTCTAGCAAGTTGCTATGCCGGAAGACACTCCAGGGCCAAGCAAGGCTTTGGAGATCCAAGTGTCAGAATAGAAGTTCCCCACTTTCCTACTTATAGGGATGCAGGTGGAAGTCTTCGTCTCTGGCTTCATTAACGGTCATTTTTAGGAACAATTCCATGCTAATTCAATTTCCAGTAGGTTTTGATCAATGGATATCTACTATTCCACGGCTATAGTAACTAGTTAACTAGTTAGTTAAATAGGTTACGGCCTCCACCCCTGAAATTTGAGGCATCAGATATTTCCTAAAGGGGTTAGCCGATTCGTGTCACCAGTTATCATTCTTTGTTGGCCCTGAGCAATGTTTGTTTCCTTCCCTATCATTTAGGCCATTCATCTTCACTTAGTTCTTTCTTGACCCAAAGTAATCTTTCCCCTTCAACTTTACCGCCTTATCTCGCAATGCAGCTATATCTAATCCGCCATGCCGAAACAGTACATAATGTTGGAAGAGTCCTGTAGGAACTCAAATTTCTGAATTGTCGTTCTACTTGATTTGCACTGACTTCCTATAATAGCGCAGGCACCACTGACTCGGCACTGACTAGCCATGGGATGGCTCAGATCAATTGCCTTGCTCAGCATTTCGTCTCCACTTCAACCAAATTCACGACGGCGTTCTCTTCAGACTTGAGTCGAGCAAGGATCACAGCGGAAGGGGTCTGCTACGCACAAGTTTCACCCAGTGGAACACAGTTGCAACCGATATTGACTCAGAGTTTAAGAGAGAAAGATTATGGATCAATGGAAGGCCGCTTCTGGAAAGAGTCTCCTCCTTCACCAAGGCCACGGGACTGGGTCATCCCCGAGTCAAAAGAGTCGATGAGAAAGAGGGCTAAAAGCTTTTTCGACGAACACCTGCTCCCAATACTGATGCGTGACCCGAACGGCCGTCAAAACATCGCAGTCGTTGCCCACGGCATTATCTTGCAAGAACTATCGACATATTTATTTGAGATATTCAATCCAGCGGATATCAATATGACTACGCTTCATAGGAGGCCTGTATGGTCAAACACCGGCTACATGACGATACTGATTACCCCAACCCAGACAGAAAGAACCGTGCTACCTACTGTCATGCCGGGCTTTGCATTTGTGGTTCTCAGTATTGACGACAAGAAACATCTTGCCAATCTCCATCGCACTAGGGGTGGCGTTGGAACCGCCGCACATGACGTGAAACAAAGAAAGATTGATCAATTCTTCCGATAATCGACCGTCTAATAGAGAATATGTGATTACGTACAACTTCAACCATCTTCACAATGGCCGAAAGATTTATTCTGTGTGGAACACTTCCTCCAAGGGCTTCCACCACCCTGGACCCTCGGCACTGCCCACGGCTCCTGGAATAGGGCTCTCCTAATGCCAGGTTCTTCGGATTAGCATCTTCATCTCTCTATTTGCGTTGGATCGTCAACATACCTGCATCCCATCAGTCATTTGCCACCACTCCTTCATCTTCGGGAGTGATGCCATGCTCTTCATATCAGCTTCATAGTCTGTGCCGACATACTTGAAGGTCGCGAAGAGAGTCCGATCGTTATCGAAGTAGATTGAGTCTGCATCGGCGCAAATATACTATATCAGCATGCTTGGACATACAATATATGTTTGTACATATTTTTGACACTGAAACATACAGTCTACGATGTTGCACTCCTTGATCTTTTGAAGGATTTCAGGCCACACATTGGCATGGCACTCCTTGTATGCGGCAACAGCGGAGGGCTTGAGGTGGACAATTTGGGCGAACCGGCGGGCTTGAGGTTGAGCCATGATGATATGTTCAATATAGATCGAATTGTGTTTCAAAAATTTGCAATTAGAGCAGAATGTAAGAAAAAACCAACAGAACTCATTTATGCCCCTCCTCGCCCCAGCTTCAACCCGCACTCGGAGTACGCTAACCCGAGAGCTTGGCATTATATATCCGTTGTCTTTGCAGCTTTGCAGCTAGGCAGCACGTGATGAAGCACTTATCCCGCATAAGTTTGTGTATAAATCATAAGTTATGGATATCCACGTAGTATGAAAGTCGTATAAAAGTTCGCTTTCACAATTTATCTAGGTAAGCCCCTAGTATCCGCATTGGGATTTTCATCAATTAATCAATGCAAGTACCACCACATTGCCGGCTGGCGCAATAATGACAGGTCTACCTCCATTGTCTTTAGGATCTTTAACCTTGGCCTGAAGCCACCTAGGTAGCCAAACCACATTGTCTTCATGATCTTCAAAAGTGCCGAAATCCCACCAGCCAAGCGTAGCTCCTTTAAATAAATACCGGTCCATCACCTAGAGCTGCATCCTTCGGAAATTCATTTCATTCACGGGTAAATGATCAGGATTCCCCGGGCTTCAAAGTCCAGCAGTGGTTCTCATTACTAACATTGAGTAGCTTACGTTTAGTGATTATGAAACCCCTCTAATGTGTCTTCCATTTGTACAGAGTCTAAGCGTTATATCTTCTTCTTTATACTCTAAAGCCTTCGTGGTGACCCCGATTCTCTATCCTAGGCTACGTACATATACATAGAAAAGTCGTCGTTTTATGCTTAAATCCTATACTTAACTTCTTAATCCCTGAATTTCTCTATTCTAAGTTCCATTCTCTCAACGTTTACATTTTGATTCTCTGTATTATAGCTTTCTATTTAATCTGTACATCAACTCCATAGTTAAGACCCAGTAACTGACTACGGGAAAATCAGTCATGGCACACTTGCGGTTGGAGACTGCCGTAAAACGTGCATGATTCCACCTTCACAGCCGAGGTGACGAATGTACTTTTAGGGCTTATCCTGTTGGGGGCTAAACTCTCGACCTTCAGATATATTTCGCTCTTTGTCTCACCCATCAACCCCACCCACCTAAGGGCACTCCCCATCTTTCCGCCTCAAATTACTGTGCCTTGTGAAAGCCGATACTGGCAGGCCTTCGCAAGTCTTCTTTTTGCTTCCTTTTATATTCCTTGGTTATTTTGATCTAGGCCTAGTACCAACGACTACCTATCCGAAGAAACGATTAGAGTATCCTCAAGCCCGGGCCAACAGCTCCATACAATCACAGCAATTTCATTTTTCCGAAAATGGCAACTCCCGAACTACCTACTTTTAATATTAGCCCGTCCACACTGTTGGATATTGCGACGGACTTAGTCAACCAAGTCCAACAAGCCACGAATGACCTAGTCAACCGTGTTTCGCCGCAAAACGCGACATTTGAGAATGCGCTTCGCCCATTGGCAGATATCGACAATGAGGTCAAAGGAAAGGTTCAATACTTAGCCCTTTTTCAGGCAGTCTCGCATTTGCCAGAACTGCGTAAGGCATCCTCAACGGCTGTGAATATGGTAGACAAAGCGTACCTGGGTGTTTTCCAAATACGGTCTATTTTTGCCTTGGTCAACGCTGTCTACAAAAGACACGCCGAGGGGAATGACCACGCCGAGGAAAGTTCAAAGAGTGAAGATCAAAAGCTTCTCGAGAGGTTTCACTCAATGTTTATGGAAAATGGGCTTGAACTAGAAGGGGATAAACGGGACAGATTCCTTTGGATTTCAAATCGTCTAATTGAGCTACGAGTTGCGTTCATGGAGAATCTCAGCTCTGACCCTGGATATGTGTGGAAAGACCACCATGAGTTAGAGGGGATGGCCATAGAAAGTCTACCTTCTTCAGCTAGCCAAAGGGGTATCAAGCTTAAGAAGCCGGATATATCTATGGTACTGAATCGGTGTCACAACGCTGAGACGAGAAAAGAGGTATTTCTCCGGAGTCAAAATATCTTCCCAGATAATCTTGAAATATTTAACGAGGCTGTTATCCTTCGGGATGAATCGTCCCGTTTGCTTGGGTTTTCGTCTTTTGCGGCCCAGAAATCGAGACACAAGATGATCAAATCCCCCCACGATGTTGACCAGTTACTGGATGGACTCTACAATCACTTGCAGCCCCTTGCCCAGAAGGAGTTGGAAAGGCTACAGCACCTTAAAATGGGGGATAGAGAAATTGGAGAGTACTCTTCTCTTTATCTGTGGGACTTTGACTACTACCATGACCGTTTACTACGAGAAAAGTACAATACCAATCATGACCTGATTGCTGAGTACTTTCCCACAGAGATTACAATTCAACGGATGCTGAAGGTCTTTGAGACAATTTTCAGCCTATCAATCGCACTCCTTGAAGTTACCAAAGAGCAAGTTTGGCATTCCGACGTCCGAGTCTTTAGTGTGCGAGATGAAAAATCGGTCTTTCTGGGATTTCTTTACCTTGATATCTACCCTCGAGAGGGAAAGTACAATCATGCAGCCAATTTCAACATCTATCCTGTTCGTGCCTAGGTTAAATCCTATTACGGAGAAGTCTGTTTGCTAACACATTATTTTAAGGCTTACTTCTCCGTGGGAAAACAGAAGCAGCCGGTTGCAACCGCATTAGTATGCAATGTCTCCCAGTCATCCTCAGATAAGCCGGCTCTTCTCCAACATCGAGAATTAATTACGATTTTCCATGAGTTGGGTCACGGTAAGTGAAATTAACACGAGAAATCTTGAGCATAAATACTAATGCTTGATAAGGCATACATGACCTCCTCGGAAGAGCTAAGTATGCGATCTTCCACGGACATCGAACAGTTGCAGATTTCGTCGAAGCCCCCAGCCAATTGCTCGAATATTGGTGTTGGGTTCCTGAATGTCTGCAGATGCTTAGCTGCCACTATTCCTACGTCTCCGGTGAGCAGTGGTCTTCTGCCATTGCGCAGCCTCCCAAGGAGATTCCAGACAGTTTGGTCCACAGCCTGATTGCAGCTAAAGGGGTTAACCAAGGGATCCTCACTCTCAGGCAAATTGCATTCAGCAAATTCGACATGCAAATCCATTGTCCTAGTTCCCACTCTCTGATTGAGTCAATGCGTACTGGCGAGGTTTATAACTCGCTGCTGCAGAAGATGACACTTCTAAAGGGCCCTGACAATAGGGTAGACTGGGGAAATGGACATGTTACCACTTCACACTATATGTGGGGTCAAGAGGCAAACTATTATTCCTATCTCTAGTAGGTGTTATTGTCGTTTATATAGAGAAACGTGCTAATTATACATATTCTAGCACCCGCATATTGGCGGCTGATATTTGGCATTCCAATTTTCACTCGAATCCAATGAGCCGTGATGCTGGTCTCCGGTACCGAAAAATGATACTAGCTCCTGGAGGAAGTCAAAATGAGGTGATCACTCTCGAGACATTTTTGGAGAGGTCACCCACACTTGACGCATATCTTCGGGATCTCGGCGTTCGTGAATAGAGCAGCACGTTGAGAAGCAGAGAGCCAAGTACTGCATTGAGCCGTTGTTGAGGTAACTCCATATAAATTCCTGCCCCTTTACACCCTGTAACATAATTACGAATACTAAGCAATGTAATCAAAAATCATTTACCAACATGAAGGGTAATGTCGCTTTTTATGAGGCGATTGCAGAAATATGGAGTGCCAATACTGGGCGGAATATCAGTCATCAAACAGTTCATAAACATGTCACTGACAGGCTAAAGGAGCATGCTGCTATACTTGCCATACCGGAAGCTAGGCGGGCTAGAATGAACGCCACCGAAACTGTTATCTTTGACTATGCCAATGAGATATACGAAGTGATATAACACAACTTAGTAGCAGATGAACGACGGAAGGAGCTCGCTAGTGCAGGTACTAAGCCTCAGACAAATACCGACTCTGTGAGAGATGATCTAGCCGATAAATTAGTGCAGTGAGCAAGAAATAAAAGGCCTAGAGACCCGCCAAATTCTATGCAAGAAGGTATGTTAAGATTTGCAAATCTATACTATTTTTCACTAATTATAATATAGAAAGCGAGCGTCCAACAACCCGGGAACCCGACCTCCCTCGCCACCGGCTGAATCGCCATTATTACATACAGAAATGGCCTTATTTCTTAGCATGATGAATAGTCGAGCAGTCAGTGAGGCCTTGACCGCGGCTAAAAGGTCAGATATCACTAGGCTAGAACATCGAATTAATAGCATGGCTGCTACTATGGGCGGGATGATGGGGCTGCTTAGAACCCTTGTGCAGAGACAGCCAAGGTTGAATTAAGCTTCATTGTTATATAAGCTGGGTTACAAACTAAGAAGAAACACGGGTGTACCGAAAAGTAATAGTAGATTGAAATTGGTATCGTAATTATAAAAGCACATAAACCTTCAGGACAGCACCTGACTCTTAGGAACAGGATGAATCCAGCAAACGGCCACATTAGCCGCCAAAGATATAACACCGATTATCCACATCGATCGCCCGTAGCTTGACCCGTTGTATCTGAAGATAATAGCAAAGATGATTCCTCCAAGATTACCGAAACCACCAACAATCCCAGAAACAATACCTAGTGACAAGATGTTAGCTTCAAACCGCCATTAGGGCAATAAAAATGGGGGCCACATACCATTAGCAAAAGGATGCACATGAGGCACAAGAGCAAAGTTGGCTCCATTAGATGCCTCGAGGAAGAAAGCCAGCCCAGCGATAAGACCGAACATAGAGGCCTCCGTGGACGGGTTTGATAATCCAATCGCAAGCTGGAAGGCTCCCATACCAACCCCCAAGAAGGTGATCAGAAGCTTTTTAGACCAGACCTTATCTGTATACCGGTAAACCAAATCTCCGAATAGACCGCCCGCGGGTCGGAAGACGGCATTCAGCAGGCCGAACATGGCAGCCCACTGGCCCGATTTTGTTTGGCCCATGTGTGGGAAGTTTTTTGTGTAGTACGATCCGAGGATCGAGTTGATTGCGAGCTCTGAGCCAAACGAGCAAGCGTAGGGGATTGCCAGCGCCATGGTTGATAGACTCAGGGCCACATTCAGGGCTTCTTGGCGAGTGGGGGAGACGACTGTCTCTTGTCTGAAAATGTCCATCTGACCCATTGCTGATGTATCAGCGTCTAGAACTTGTGGTGACTGGGCACCTTTCTTTTCGATATCGATTGTTGCGGAGTTGTGGGGGGTCGTCATTCCGCTAGTAAACGCGCCGGAGTTGACGTCCACGATGTTGCCGTCGGCAGTCATCATGGTATCATTTGACTCTTTCGCCCAGAGATGTCTCTCAGACCACTTTCCTGTTGGTGTATCTTCGCAGAGGAACAACATGCCCAGGGCGACGACGGTGATGATGATGAATGGAACGACATAGGCGATACGCCATGCTTTGTGAGAAGGGAGGCCGCGGGAATGGACGAGGGAGTCGAAGATGGCGGGCATCAAAAAGCTTCATTGGCTCGTTAGTATATTCATAGAACTGAAAGGAGAAAAGGTAGATGCCTACTATGTGATTCCTCCGCCTGCATTACCCCAGCCTCCAGCGAGGGAATTGGCAGTGCCGACAATACTCTTGTCGAAGAAACCCGTGCACCAGACCTGGCAAGGGACGAATGTTCCCCCCAGAATTCCAACGAAAAATCGTAGGGCTATCAAGCCCTTGGGACCGGTGACGAGACCGGCCATAGCCGTGGGAATAGCCCCACAGAGGAGGAGTCCAACGAAGACCAAGCGAGGGCCATAGCGATCACAGAGTGGCCCTGCAACAAATCGGATGAGTAGACTGTAGCGGTCAGTGATGTGGTTCTTTGATCGATTCCATAGTCTGGTACTTACGTTGCCAGAAGTGCAACGATGTTTGAGTTAGCGACATCATCTTGTGTCATATTCAAGTCTTTTTTGATAGTCACACTCAACTAGAAAGACGGATGGGATTAGAGACATGTTATTTTCTTCTATCAGATATGTCGCAATTATTTCATGAACTTACCAGTGGTGGAAACGCGTACCATGATAGGAATGCTACCATGAAGCCGAGCCACGAGAAAAAGAACACCCGTCCATATTGGTCGAAGGGGTTCAATATGGGAATAGATTTGGCTTTTCGATTACTTGGGTTGATTTCCGGTGATATAAAGAGCTGTTTAACAAAGTTTGTTGCCATTTTGGTGGGCTCTTTGTATTGTCGAGCAATGGTGTTTGAGGTAGGCTCAGAAGCTGGTATTCTAACATAAAAGCTCAGATAACTCAATATAGACTTGTTGATTATGGAAGCAAGGGTTGCTTTGGGAGTTTAGGAGAAAGATGCAGGTTGAAAATTCAAGAGACCTTCGCATCTATATAGACGTTTATGATGCTCTGTTTGCTGAAGTATGTATCTCAGATGTATCTTGTCATGACACATGCACCAATCAGTCTGAGAATCCTGCTGTATGTCTCGTGGTCCAATTATCGTAGATAGCTAGGTGCTGTTAATCGAAAACAGTTAGTCAAGAGCTACCGCCGAGTATCCATATCTCAGATCGCTGATTTGATACAATCAAAGGACCAGGTTGCAGCAAGGATCATCAAACTCTTGAATGCTAAACTTACCTCTTGCCACAGACTTCATTCCTGAAATTTCCGCAATATCCTGAACTGAAATTCTGATCGAGATAAGGTATATTGGAATGACCTATCACAGTGTAGGATGTATACTATGCCGAGTGCCACAGTCGAAGGCAAACCCTGATCGCATGGATTAAGCTACTTACCACAACTCCGCGGAGCTTCAATTGACAATTCCAGGCTTACTTTATAAGATTATATCGAGTCTGGGGTGGGCCTTTTTTCTCCACGGCCAGGGGAATTGATATCATTGATAAACGCGAGCCTCCTCATTGGATGCCAAGCCAACCGCGATAGGGACTGAATAAGCTCAGCCCAGCGGGTCTTTTGGCATTGTCGATCTGAGCTCCGCGGAAATACTTGAATCGAGCCGGGGCTCTTGTTGATTGGCTCTGGGACTTGGAGAGTGAACCCTGGACTATGATCTAGTCTGTAAAGCAAAGGCTTCCTCGCAAGTCTAGACGGGTATTTTTGCTTTTTCCTGAGACTTTTAGTGTGTGCGAAGCTCTACGGAGCATGTGAGGCCATAATGCACTGAGATAAGGGATCTATGCGGTATTGACTGTGCGAGAAATAATTGCTTGGTTTGCACGCCGAACAACCAACATTGATTGATGATATCTCCACATAGTATATCAGAAATATTGGGGCTTCTTCATAGCGGTAGTGCGAAGGATCTGTGGCTACTGTCGGTTAATCTCTCCAATGCGGTCGAAGTAAAAAGCGGGTTCCTTCGTCAGAGACTGGCTTTGAACCATCGAAGAAAGACCAGAGAAATCAATTATAACCGGGGATCAAACGTTATATCTAACGAGAGACTTTACCGTTTTATATCGCGCTAGATGAGATATTCCTAGAATGACCTAACAGCCGAACAAGCTTCTTATTTGGTCGAAGACAACGATATATACTGGCTTCTTTGGCAATATCTACATAGAATGGGATCTTCCATCGTTCCGAGCAAGTAATGAAGAAAATTGAGGTATAGCACATATATTCAAAAGTGTACTCCGTACTCACGAGGCCATTAACTATCTCGATACACCCAGACGCCAACCTGATCCATAGCAGAATTTCAAAAAAACCGACATGTCATACAGCAATTACCAATCAATCGACTTGGCTGGTTGCACGGTTGGTGCACGAGTCAAGAAACCATCAGTGATCTTCTTCCCCTTCATACCCTTGAACTTCTTGTCAACCTTGTGGAACGGGTCCTCCGACTCACCCTTCCGCACTTTCCACTTCTCCGTTCCCAAAATCGAATCTAACTCCTCGATGGGTGGAAGTTTGATGTATACCCAGCCATCATCCCTCTCCTCAACAGGGAACGTAGCAATGTTCATGCTCTCATCATTCGAGCACCGACCCGCCTGCTCGCCGTTGAGCTCGAAGTTGCGCTTGTGGTACGGACACGACACCCAATATTTCCCAGCGTCATCATCGCCAACAAGACCATCGGAAAGAACAAAAGCTCGCTTATGCGGACACATCTGCTGCGTCGCGTAGAACTTGCCCTTGATCTTGAAGACAGCAAGCTGTGTGTCGCCGCGCTTGACGTTCGCCGATGAGACCTGAGGTGGCTCGTCGGAAAAATGATCTGCTCGGACAACCGGTTGCCAGGACACGCTTGACCACTTGTGACCTTTGAAATCTTGTCGCTCGGCAGTGTCTTTTGGCCAGTACGTGGGTCGTTTCTGAGATCGTTCTTGAACAACTTCGACTGTCTCGAGAGTTTCGTCTGTGTTTGCGAATTGTTGGAAGACCTTTCGGCGCTTGGGGTCTTTAACGGTCTCGGTCCACTCGCAGAAATAACTATCGACTAGTTCGTGCATTTGCCTCTCCATGTCGGCGCAGATTCCGAGTTTGTCATCCACGATCACCTCTTTGAGGTAGGCGATTCCGCCTGGGAGATTCTCGATCCAGCGTGCTGTTCGCTGGAGTTTGTCGGCGGTGCGGATGTAGAAAATAAGGTAGCGGTCGATTATGGGCATTACCATCTCCGCTGGTACATCGGTAACAAGGAGCTCGGCGTGTCTGGGCTTTGCACCTCCGTTGCCTCCAACGAAGATGTTGAACCCATTTTCGGTGGCAATAAGTCCAAAGCTGACAACCATTAGTGGGTGTTTTTTTAAATTATCGTGGGATCTGTTCCACTCACTCTTTGTTTTGGGCCTCGGCACATTCTCGAACACAGCCAGACACAGCTCCCTTGAACTTATGTGGCGCACGAATACTCTTGTATCGCTCTTCCAGTCGAATTGCCATGCCGACACTGTCACCGACACCGAAGCGACACCATGTGGTTCCAACGCAACTCTGAGCGTCCACTGTTAGCTGGCTCTTCTCTTGAAAGATAATTGGCCTAACGTACTTTGATTGCGCGAAGCGCCTTTGCATAGGCGTGTCCACTCTCCATACCTGCATCTACAAGTTCCGTCCAGATGTTCAGAAGATCCTGCTTCTTCGCACCGAACATGTCGATGCGCTGGGCACCAGTGATTTTGCAATACAGACCGTATTTCTTAGCCACGGATCCTATGGCAATGAGTTTATCGGCCGTGATTTCACCACCTGGAATTCGTGGCACCACAGAGAATGTGCCGTTTCTTTGGATATTGGCGAGGAATTTATCATTTGTCTCCTGCAAATCGTTGAAGCCCTTGTCCATGA